AAAGTAGGAACTATTCGAAGAACTTATGGGGAAAGTATCGATAATGCTAATGCGGTGCATGGTTCAGATAGCCCCGAAGCAGCCAAAAGAGAAATAAACTTATTTTTTAAGAAAGAAGAAATTTTTTAAGTTTTTTTTTTTTTTTTTGTAAAAAGTCAAATAATAAATCCAATCAGCAAAAGTCCTACTATACTCAAACTTATTCATAAGATGTAATTTGGTTTATTGGATAGAGAGTTTTTAATTTTATCATTATCCCCCCATTCTTATTGCTTGGTTCTGGTGGAAAGTTATCGTTATTATTGTTTTTATCTTGGTTAGGCTTGTTATTATCCTGTCGGTTATCTTCTGGCAATTCTCCTGTTAATTCTTTTTCTTTAATGTTTAAGGCTCGTAAAAAATATTGGAGAACCATTTTATTGTCATGGATGTTTCAAAATGTCAGATCCATAAGACGACAATCGTCCGAAAAAAGATAACTACCCCTGTTTTTACCATTTATCTTAAAAATTCCTTCAATTCTACCATGAGAAAAACCAGGGATATGTCCGATAAGGTTAGTATTAATTTCCTCATCTAATTTTCCGCCTAAAATTTTCTCCACAGTGGGTTGAACTACTTTTTGCTTATAATCTTTTTCACGAGCACTTTCAGAAAATAAATAACAAAAAGTCATCGGAATACCACAATCTCCATCCTCTCTTTCTCAGGCTTTTTCCACTATTTCGGGTTTTTGTAAATAAAACTCTAATTCTTGGCGGGCTCTTTGAATTGAATTTAATAAGGTTTTGTTATCAGGAGGATTTTTTGCTGATATGCCTAATTCACAATTTTTTTCTCATTTGTCCTCAAATTCACTTATATCGTCCATAAGTTTATCCCCTACCTCCTTTTCAATAATTTTACTTCACCCTTTTTTAAAATAAATATCTTTCATTATTGCTTTTTCCTTTCATTTATCACAACAAGAGGAACAATAATTCGCCCTACTTGCTTCATAGCCATTAAAAGGAATGCCAGTGATAAGATAGTATTTGTTTGTTAGTTCTTTTTCACAATCTCGACATTTTCTTTGCCTTGTCATAATAATACTTTTTACTGGTGCTCCGGGAAGGATTTGAACCTCCGACGACTTGTTTAGGAAACGAGTATTCTATCCACTGAATTACCGGAGCAGATTAGCGAGTTTTTGTATATATCAAAACAATAATTCCAACAATAAACATAAAGATTCAAATAGAGAAAAAGATAATAAGGCACATTCTATCAAATCTATCTTTCTTAATGGCACACTTTTTGCAATAAATTTCAGTTCCATATCCGCTATGTCAACTTGCCCTGAAATAGTTTTTTCCACTCTTGGTTACTTCCTCACCCTCGGGAATTTTTTTGTAGCAATTAGAACATAACATAATTTTATAATTTGGCGTTAATTTAATTATTTTTAAAAGTTATTGAAAGGATTACAGTAGTAATGATAAACAAAAAAACACAAACAAAAAGAATAATAAATATTATTCAGAGTTTTTTTTCACGCCTGGCTTCCTTTTTTGCACACCAAACACAAAATACTCCACCTTCTCCCGCTTCGCCTCCTCATCATCCCACTCGTCAATAAATACCACTTCCTCCTCTTTTAACCTCTTCTCCCTCGGGAATTTTTCGATAACATTTGCTACATAACATAATTTAAAATATTTTAATGAAGATTAAGTGGGGTTGGTGCAATTGGTAGACACACAAGAATGAGGTTCTTGACAGTGAGGGTTCGACTCCCTTATCCCACACCATAAAATTAAATTAGTAATATGACAAAACTGCTCAACTTAACCATGAAACTTAAAAGCGAGGATAGATATGATAAAATTGTTCCCGGAGATGTTCGGTCGGGGCTCTCTCGCCTCATTGAAATCGCCGACCTAGCCATAAAAGACCAAGCCGGGAACCCGATTACGGAACTTAAAATTCCGCATTTTCCTGGTAATTTTCAAGTGGCAGACATTAAAAATATAAAGGTATTTTTCCCCACGTTGGATATTCCTATTTCTTGAGCCTGAAAAAATAAAGGAGCCGCTACCGAAATAGAATTCACCCTGCAAAAACTAAAATACGATGAGAGCCAAGGTCTTAAATTTAGTTTTGTGGGAGCAGTTCCAGTCGGAACAGCCGTAACCAGCGACACTCTTTTTTTAGGTTCCAGTGATTTTGAAGGATATGAAGTTTTTAAAAGCAAAAGAGGAGATTTTAATCGCCTATCCTCGATTATTAAATTATCGGATGGACTTCCGACCGAGGTTAAACAAACTTGACAAGATTTTTCGGATCTAAGATGAGAAATTATCAAAGCCGAGGAGGACGAGCAAATTACCCGCTTTATTTCGAAAGTAGAAAGTTGACAAAATGCCCCGAACAATTCTCTCCAACAAAAATTTTACCAGTTAAAAAATATTAATGGGGGGATAGAAGCAGTAAAAAACGAATGTCAGGATTATTTAAAAGAACTAAAAGCGTTAAAAGATAAATGACCAAAAGTAGGAATTAAAACCAGGATGGCGGCACAAACCGCCAAAGAAAACGATTTTGATATAATTGCTAATCCGAGTTTAGAAAGTCAAATCAGTTCGGCGGGAAAATACCAGGGATTTCCAATTGCGAGCCTCGAAAAATATAAAACCGTCGAAACCAGCATTACCACTGGCTTTAGCTTGAATAATCCCTCCAAGATAGTAGTAGAAAAAAACCGCTACACCAAAACTAATATTGATGAGTTTCGCAAATTTTTTACCAACGACTTAAACCAATCCGACCCGAAATATTTTCGCGGTTTTCGTCCCGGGGATATTAAGCAGTTGCCGGACGGAAAAGTGGTTAGCGTTAACCACCAGGCCGATATCCGCGATAAAACGGATAACCAGTGAGAAATTAAAAAAGAGGAAGATTTTCCCCGAACTTATTATGAAATGAAAACTTATGATAAACAAGGCGGAATAGTTCTTAGAAATTTAATTGAAATGATTTTTGAAGCCAACGATTTAATAGGAAAAACCAAAAAAGAGATTTTAGATACTCATTTTAAGTGAACAAAAGAATTAGGCTACAATGAAAGCAAAGGTTCTAAACTTTTTTACCAATGTTTAACTAACTTATTCTGAGTGTTAGAACGGAACTTTATAAATGAAAACCGCGAAAATTGCGAGACAGCTCTTAATACTCTAAAAACTTATGAAAGTCTACCGGATAACAAGTGGGTAGAAAAAAAAATTAAAAACCGGTATTCCGCGGAAATTGAGACGAAAAAAAACGAAGTTATCGACCGAATGAAAATGCTTTTTCAAGCCGAGATTGATGCGGCGGCGAATGAAGATTATGGGTCCGGTCGTTTAAGTTCGGAAAGAAAAAGTATTTTCACCACTCATCGGAGCCAGATTGAAAATTTATCGCTCCTCACCGAAATTAAACAATTAATTAAATCCTTGGTGAAAGCCGAAAGATTTATTGCCGAGTTTAAAAATTTAGATAAAATGGCTTCGGCACAAAAATTAAAAGAAGAATACCGAAATGGGAGCGGAGACAAAAAAACCGCTTACACCATTGTCAACCAAGTGGATAACCAGTGAGTAGACCGAATAATTACTGAGTTAGAAATCATTAAGCAAAAAGACCC